GCACTACTGAGCACTGTCAGTTTGGACCCCAAAGTCAAATAACATAGTAAGAAAGGCAGGATGGAAGAAAAGATCTAACATAAACCTACTATTTGGGGGATAACGAAAGCAAGATAAGCCATACTTGGCTGTTCGCAGGGATTTTTCCCGGCTGTATGCTTAGAAGTGACTCAGCCAATGCTCTGAGACCAGGTGGTTTCAGGAATGAAAATGGGATCACCCACATGACACGAACGCACCTCAACCCCTGTACTCTCTTTATGGCCACTAAGCCTACTATTTTAAAAGGCATATCCTGCAGAACATTATTTTAAATCCCTGTAATATTTGCTTCTTTTTAAAATTCTGTCCATAATAATTTTATTCCTGTTCATAAAATTGCCCACATTTATTCGAACATATATATATATGCATACATGAGAATTCATATGGTCCAACATTTTTTATAAAACTGAATTCCTGTTTTAATTGCAAAACTTTGAAGCCCTGCTATATTATTTTGTTCCTTTTATAGTATTTCACAGTTTTTTCTTCATTACTGGGAATATGCTCAATTGGTTGAACTCATGCCTTTCAGTGGGAGGTACTGGGTTCGAGCCCCATAGTGCATGGCATCTAGGTATAACCACACGGGCCCTATGCAACCGACACTGCTAGACTGTGTCCTTCACAACAATAAGACATGTAGTTTATTGGCACAATTTAGTAGTGTACTACAGTGATATTATTAGTGAAGCATGGTTATGATTTAGAATTATAATCAGCAATTTACTCTTACATGTACCTTAGAGAGCTGGAGCAATAGCATAGCAGGTAGGGTGTTTGCCTTGCATGCAGCTGACTTGGGTTCGATTCTTCAGCCCCTCTCGGAGAGCCTGGCAAGCTACCAAGAATATCTCGCCCGCACAGCAAAGCCTGGCAAGCTACCCCTGATGTATTTGATATGCCAAAAACAATAACAACAAGTCTCACAATTTGTTGTGAGACGTTACTGGTACCTGCTCGAGCAAATCGATGAACAACGGGAGGACAGTGCTACAGTGCTACATGTACCTTAGAAATGTTACAAGGTAAACAGTATTATCAGTCACATTTTATGTTTTTTTGTTTAAATTTTATTTTTATTGAGTTAACATATTTGAGGTATGCATTGCTTCCTCACACATCCAACTCCAAAGTGCCAGTATTTCTCCATCAGGGTCCTCTGGACTCTTTGAACCCACTCCCTGTGTTCACTCTCTTTTTTAATCTCAGTTCTGTGATCAGATGCTATGGATTTATTTTCTGGATAGTATCTGTTCAATTGTTTGTTTTTCTCTTTTTCTTTTTGATTCTTCTATTTGGAGAACACAACCATCTGTGCTTAGGGATTACTCTTGATTTTGCACTCAAGGATAACCTCTGGCAGGACTTGGGGGACCATATGTGTGCCAGAGATTGAATGTAGGTTAGCCACTGTACTATCTGGCCTCTTCTTTGTTTCTTTACATGCTACAAATGACTGAATTTATCTGAGTTTTCTCTTATTCTTCCTTTTTCGCTTATTATGACACCTCTCAGATCTATTCATATTATAATAAAATAGGAAGCTTCATGTTTTCTGAAGGTTGAGGATTAGTCTATTATGTATATGTTATATCTTGATTCATTGACCACTTATGTAATTTTCTGACATTATTGTTACTGTAAATCATTCTCTAATATTGATTTACAATTTTAAGTTTTGTATGTGCAACTTCACAACTCAGCATGTACATAACATAGTATGCCTACCGTAAAGTGTAGTTTCCATCTGTCATCGATCAGTAAAGCACTAGACTTTCTCTGTCTGTTCCACATCCCAACCCTATTCTTCAGGCTTTAGATTTTGCTTAATTGATTTTTATCAGGTGTGTGTGTGTTGAGAGGTTAGAGCCTCGCCCTCCAAACCTGCATGCTTAGCCCATTGAGCTTTCTCTATGTTTTGCATGTTTGCTCAGTTCTTTATCATTTATATGAGTGGAATAATATTTTCCTGTGTCTCATGTCTTATTTAACATAATTCTCTGAGTCTGTGCATGTTATGGAAAATGGAAATAATTTATTTATTTGGTTTGGTTTGGTTTTGGAGCTACATTAGGGTTTACTCCTGAATGTGAATGGGAAACCAAATGAGGTACCTGTGAGGATTAACTGGTGCCTACTGAATATAAGGCCTCAACACCTAGGTTATCTCTTTGGCCTCTGGTTTACATTTCAACAGGAAAATACAAGATGTCATGTATTTAATTTGGAAAAAGAAAGCTCGTTTCTCAACCAGGAGGGAAAGAAAGCCTGGACAGATTTGATATTTGCCAGAGTTATCTTTGTCTCTCTGCTCTCGCCACATATGTGGTCACACCAGTAAAAGGGAAAGCATTTTGGGACAGTTTTTGTCTGCAAAAATAAATTCCAAGGTTGGGCAAAATCTAGTCATACGATGGTATCAGAAGTTAGGAACTGTCATCTGTGCCCAGAGAACCATGGAATCATGTCCATCTTGAGTGTGAATGGGGAAAATAAACCTCTGTTATTAGAAAAGAGAGGATGAATAATGGGGCAATGGTGTCAGCCAGTTAGTGATCCTGATAGCTACCAGCTACCATGCCTAATAATGTCCTGTCTACTAGGGATGCATTGTATCCTAATTGTATCCATCGTATTCATAATTGGTTGAAAAAACTCTGAAATACATTAATTACTGCATTTATGTTCTGATTTTTGTCTTAAAATTAATGGTTTTATTGCCACATCATGACAGAGTGTAACCATTTTGCTTTTAGCAGCATTGTTACTTTATTTTCACAGAATGATCTTTCATAAATAAAAATTATCATTAAAATACTGAGGTAATGTTATTTTGGAATGTTTCTCTACATTCAAAGATGGAATTAGAATTCCTGCAGAACTTTAGCACTGCACTGTCCACTGTCCTCCTGTTGTTCATCAATTTTCCCAAGTGGGCCTAGTAATGTCTCCATTGTGAGACTTCTTGTCACTGTGTTTGGCATATCGAAGACGTCACGGGTAGCTTGTCAGGCTTTGCCATGCAGGCGAGATACTCTCAGTAGCTTGCCGGTCTCTCTGAGAGGGGCAGAGGAATCGAACCTAGGTCAACCAGGTCGGCGCATGCAAGGCAAATGCCCTACCACTGTGCTATCACTTCAGCCCTGCAGAATTTTAAGTCTCACGATTATGTATTTATAAATATCATCAGGGTTAAAGCAATAGTACGGCAGGTAAGGCATTTTCCTTGCCTGCAGCTGATCTGGGTTCAGTTCTTGGAATCCCATATGCTCCCCCATAACCACCACTAGGAGTAATTAATGAGAGCGGAGCCAGGGGCAACTTCTGAGCATCGTTGGATTTGACACCCCAAATAAATCCCCTAAAAAGCTTTATACAAGAGACTGGAGAGGTAATTCAAAGTACATATCTTGCATATCTTATATGTGCAATGCCCTCATTTCATTATGCTCCGCCACATGAGCAGTGTGGGGTAAAGCCCTGGAAGCCCCCAAGCACAACTATGCATGTCCTTGGTAGTCCCTTGCACAGCTGAGTCTCATGTAGTCCCATGTTGCCAGACCCACGTGCTAGATAGGTTGTCCTAGTATCACTGGGAGTGGTACGCCAGACCCCTCTGAGCATCACATAGGAGCCCTCCTGTGTTGTTATACAAGAGAAAACATTGGAAAGTAGGGACTTTATAAGCAGTCCTTTGTTTATTTTTTTTGCATGCCTTGAGTTATAATAAGGAACCCCACTTTCTTCTTTAAAATGCAAAAGCAAACACCTCTCCCAAAAAAAATAGGAAATGAAAGAAAGAAAAAACATTAACAGGCCCTTTCATAGTTTGACTCAAAATTTAAAAACATGACTAAGGTGAATGTTTGTCTTCAAGAACATTTGCTGGACTGTTTCCTAAGTAACCTTTCGATTTGTTTTTGCACAAATTATATGGTGTTTGTGCTCATTTTATAGAACTGTCTCATTTATAAATTCGACTTCTTTCTTAATTTAACTAAAACTGCTGTTTCCTGTCCAAGTACATTTGTTTCCATAGAAGCTTAAACATAGTCTTTATTTCTAAGTTCAGCTATGTGTTTACTTGGGAAGGGAAGGGTTTTTCCCAAAATAAACAACAGTTGAATCACTTATTTAAATATGGCTTCTGTTGAAAGTTGACTCTGTGGCCCAGACGCCTTCATTTCTGCATAAAGATAATGTACTTGGTTAGAATAGCACCCTCTTCAGAGAGGCCCAGCTCCAGTCCACATATCATTGCCAGCTCGCCAGTGTTCTAGATGAATTTCACTCATACTCATTTTTTTTTCCAGCTGAGACATACTCATCTTCTGAACATTAGGTCTTGAGGTAAAAGAATAATTGAATTTTAGGAAAGTTTATTGTGTCATTAATTCTTGTTGATCGAAGCTGTACTTGTTTGTGTTGTACTGAATTTGCTACATGCTTTACAATGTGTTTTTTTAAGTCCTTGTTCTATATGAGTATGCATTTGGTAAGTCAGTGCTCTTTTAAATCAGTGTTACATTCCATACTCTAGACTTGTCAGAAATAAAGGAGAATTCATATAGTCTGATTTATTTTTCATATTTTACTTTAACCTCACACCCTAGTATCTCATCTCACTGTATTGATAAAGCATTGAAACTGTAAACATTTTGCCAAAGATTGCTAATTTGTTGAAGCTAGAACTAAAGATTCCTCTACACACACACACACACACACACACACACACACACACACACACACACGCTCTTTACCACTTAACTCATAGCTAATTCTTGCTCCTACGAGTATTTTTCCTTGGAGTAAGATGCACATGCTAAAATATCTCTAAAAGTGAGTATGTTTATGTTGAATCTTTAATAATTTTATTCACGTTTTATTTTAATATTATGCTTGCTATTATTATTCCAAGGTAAATTATTCTAATTTTCCTATTTTATTTTAAACAGATCATGTTGTTTGTGAAGAAGAGTTTAAATACGCCATGTTAGCTTTAAACTGTATATGCCCAGCAACCTCTACACTTATCACACTACTGGTTCATACCTCTAGAGGGCAGTAAGTATATTTTTTCTTTAAGATAATGCATTTTGAATTATAAAAGAATAAGTGCAATTAAGTGATTTAGAAGTATATTAAGTCAATTAGATATATATGTTTGTATTTTTTATCTTCATCTTACAAACATTAATAAATAGCTAGAAATATTTGCTGTTAAGTCATCAAACACAGAAAGTTACTATTTGCCATCTTTTCTAACTAATCTTGAGACAATAATTTTCACCTTAAATTCTAAGTGTCCATGTCCTTCTACTATTAAGGTATGGTTTCTATTTTCTGGATTAATTCCCAACAAATAAGACTTAATAAAACCTATAGTGTGATAGTGTCTAGTATAAAATATAAGCATATTTCATCTTGAGGTAAGTTTTTCATCTTAAAGCTATAAGTAACAATTAACCACAAAATAATGATATTGTCATTATAGAATGATAGGAAAAACTGATGTTAGTTAATGTATTATGAAAGAAATAAGTTTTAAAATGTGCATTTCAAGGCAAGTGGGGGAAATGAATACCACCAGAACCTTTTGCTGTTATAAATTTTGATAGAATTTCATAAATTAGCAGGGTGTTTTGATTTGATTAAGGAAAATAAGTAAACATCATCATCACTCCTGTTTAATGAAACAGGGGATAAACAGAATTTTATTTGTTTTCCCATTTCATACTTGATATTTTAGATAAACCGTGCAAATTTAAAGTAAATTCCTCTATGATGTTTGTTTTGTTTTGTTTTGGGGCCACACCTGGTGATGCTCAGGGTGACTCCTAGCTGTGCACTCAGGAATTACTACTTGTAGTGCTTGAGAGACCATATGGGATGCTGGTGATTGAATCTGGAATTGACTGTGTGCAAGGAAAGTATCTTCCTGCCATAGTATTACTCCAGCCCACATATTGATGTTTATTATCAATTAAACTTAGTAAATCAAAAATCATTATTTAAATAGAGTGACAGGTGAAATAAATAGGAAATGAAATTTTTAAAACTTTAAAAATAGTTGAAGTTTTTTGTTTGTTTCAAACTGAATTTTTATTTTATTTATTTTTATTGAAGCACTGTAAAATACACAGTTACAAAGCTTTTCATTATCATATTTCATATTTATCAGATGTGTATTTGACAGATATCCTTTCCCATTCTGTATACTGTCTTTGTATTTTGTTCACTGTTTCTTTTGAGGTGCAGAAGCTTCTCAGTTTAAGATAGTCCCATTTGTCTATCTCTGTTTTCACTTGCTTGGCCAGTGGCGTGACATCTTTGAAGATACCATTAGCTTCAATGTCATGGAGGGTTTTGCCAACTTTTTCCTCAATGTACCTTATGGATTCCGGTCTGATTTTGAGTTCTTTAATCCACTTTGATCTTACTTTTGTACATGGAATTAGGCAGAGATCTGAGCCCACCTTTTTGCATGTAACCATGCAATTTTGCCAGCACAATTTGTTAAAGAGGCTTTCTTTGCTCCACTTCACTTTTCTTGCCCCCTTATTGAAGACTAGACGGTCATATGCTTGGGGGAAGATGTCAGTATATTCAACCCTGTTCCATTGGTCTACAGCTCTGCCTTAGTTCCAATACCATGCTATTTTAATTATTACTGCTTTGTAGTAGAGTTTGAAGTTAGGGAGGTAGATTTCCTCCCGTTTTCTTTTTCCCAAGAATTGCTTTAGTTATTCGTGGGGGTTTATTGTTCCATATAAATTTCAGGAGTGTTTGCTGCATTTATTTGAAGAATGTCATGGGTATCCTAATAGGGATCGCGTTGAATTTATACTTTGGGAAGTATTGCCATTTTGACAATGTTAATTCTCCCGATCCCTGAACAGGGGATATTTTTCCATTTCCTCATGTCCTCTTTCATTTCCTGAAGCAGCGTTTTGTAGTTTTCTTTGTACAGGTCCTTTACTTCCTTAGTTAAGCCGATTTCTAGGTACTTGATTTTCCGGGGCACAATTGTGAATGGGATTGTTTTATTCATGTCACTTTCTTCTCTTTCACTGTTTGCATATAGGAAAGCCGGGAGCTGGGTTTTATAGTCTCTGAGTCTTGGCTGTTGATGGAATTACACGGGCGCCAGGGGGCCATTTGGTGGGTGTAACCCCCGCCTACGGAATTTAGAGGATCTGGGTGGAGGATGATTAGCCCCGGTCCAAGTAGGCTTGGAGATCTCAGTCCCGGAACCCGCATGCCTTTGTTCCTCTGCCTGTACTTTCATGTGTGTGGAGAGTGGTCTCAGCATGGTGGTGGCTGGTTCTGGAGGTCTTTGGCTGCTGGATCCCTCGTCGGGGCAGGCAGGGAAACTCAACCCACTCCACTCCAAGGGGCCCCGGCAAGGACAGCCAGGTGCGGGGGCAGGAGACCACCAGAACCAGCCACCACCATGCTGAGACCACTCTTCACATGCATGAAGGTACCGGCAGAGGAACAAAGGCATACGGGTCCCGGGACTGAGATCTCCAAGCCTGCTTGGATCAGGACTGAGCATCCTCCACCCAGATCCTCCGAATTCCAGTAGGCAGGGGTCACGTCCACCAATTGGTCCCCTGGTGCCGTGTAATCCCATCAACGGCCAAGACTCAGAGACTATAAAACCCAGCTCCCAGAAGAGAACAGCGCAGAGTCTCCTGCCCCCGCGCCTGGCTGTCCTCGCCGGGTCCCCTTGGAGGGAAGCGGGTTGAATTTCCCTCCCCGCCCAGACCAGGGCTCTGGCAGCAGAAGACCTATTGTTATAATCATGTTGTTTTTATCTTTTCTTTTATTGATATGGTGTACTATTTTTCACTTATCGTGTTAAAACATCCTTCCTTCCTCAGCATGAATTCTACTTGGTTGTGGTGTATAGACTCGTGGGTGGGGCATTTGCCTTGCACGTGGCTAACCCAGGTTCGATTCTTCCATCCCTCTTGGAGAGCCCGGCAAGCTACCAGGAGTATCCCACCCACACAGCAGAGCTTGGCAAGCTCTCCATGGTGTATTCGATGTGCCAAAAACAGTAACAACAAGTCTCACAATGGAAACCTCACTGGTGTCCGCTCAAGCAAATTGGTGAACAATGGGAGGACAGTGCTACAGTGCTACGGTATGGTGTATGATTTTTTTTATGTTGTTGGGTTCATATCACTAGTATTTACTGAGGATCTTTGCATCTATAATCCTCAGGGATATTGGTCTATGTTTCTCTTTTTCTGTCTGCTTTTGATATCATGGAAACATTTGCCTCAGAAAGACTGTTTGGGAATGTTTCTGTTTCTTCAGTTTTCTGTGAAAGCTTGAAAAGGATTGGGATTAGGTCCTCTTTAAAGATTTGGAAAAAAATCGTTAATGAAACCATCTGGGTCAGGTCTTTTGTTTTTGGGGAGACTTTGGATTACCATTTCAATTTTCTTGATGGTGATAGATCTATCCAGGTATTCCAAATCTTCTTGGTTCAGCCTTGGAAGGTTATAGGAACCCAGAATTTTATCCATTTCTTCAAGGTTCTCTTTTTTCTTGACATAGTTTCTCCTAGTAATCTCTGATGAGCCTATAAATTTCTGTGGTTTGGGGGGCTGGAGCGATAGCACAGCAGGTAGGGTGTTTGCCTTCCACTCAGCCGACCCGGGTTCAATTCTCAGCATCCCATATGGTCCCCGAACACTGCTAGGAGTAATTCCTGAGTGCATGAGCCAGGAATAACCCCTGTGCATCGCAGGGTATAACCCAAAAAGCAAAAATTTTTTTTTCTGTGGTTTCTATTATGATGTCCCCCTTTTCTTTTCTGATTTGGTTTATTAGGGTTATTTCTCTGTTTTTTTAGCGAATCTTCCTTAGTGTTTTATAACTTTTGTTTTCTAAAAGAATAGGTCTCAGTTTTATTGATATTTCAGATTGTTTTTTGGAATTCCAGCTCATTTATTTATGCCTTATGTTTTATTATTTCCTTCCTCCTGCCTTGTTGGGCTCCTTTTGTTGGTCATTTTCCAAGATTTTAATCTGGAAATTAAGTTATTTATTTGGGCTCTTTCTTCATTCCTGATTAATTCTTGTAGAGCTATAAACTTTCCTCTTAACATGCTTTTAATGTGTCCCACATGTTCTGGTAACTCATGTCTTCATTTTTCTTTGTTTTCAAGAATCTTTGATTTCCTCTTTGTTTCCTCTCTAAGCCTTTGTTTATTCAGTAGTGAGCTGTTTAATTTCTAGATGTTTGATTTGATTCTCTGTTTCTGAGTGTGAGTAACTTCTGTTTTCAGTGCATCATGGCTTGAAAAAATAGTTGATACAACTTCTATCCTCTTAATTTTATAGAGGTTTATGTTGTGGTCTAGTATGTGGTCTGTCTTGGAGAATGTCTCAAGTGCACTGATGAAGAATGTATATTTTGCTTTTGAGGGATGGAAAGCCCTATATATATAAATACTAACTCGGTTTTTTGCCTTTCTTCCCTCAAATAAGTATTTCCTTGCTGAGTTTTAACCTAGTTGATCTATGAAGAGGTTAAAAAGCGGTGTTGTAGTCCCCAACTACTATTGTGTTGCTATTAGTGTCTTTTTTCAAATCTATTGGAATTTGTTTTGAGTACTTTGCTGGTCTTTTATTAGATGCATGTGCATTTAAGAGTGAGTTCTTTCTGATGTGTAGATTTCTTGATCATTAAAAAATGTCCTTCACTGTCTCTTATAACCTTCTTCAGCCTGAAGACTGTGTTCTCCAATACTAGTATGGCCACTCCCGCTTTGTAGGGGTGAGGGGGGGTATCTTTAAGAATTGTTTTCCGTCCTTTCACTTTGAGTCTGTGTTTTCTCTGAATGTTCAAATGTGTTTCTTGCAGGCAGCAGACTGTTGGGTTCAATTTTCTAATGCATCCTGCACTCTCTGTCTCTTAATTGATGCATTTAGCCTGTTGACATTAGGAAAGTTTATTGTTATGGGATTTTGTGACATCTTTCCCCAGGAGTTTTCTGTATTTGTGGTGTTTGTCTTATGTTTAGTGGCCCATTTAGTTTTATTCT